ATTAACATCTCATAAAGTAGGCAACATTTTTGGAAAGCGCTGTAGTGGACCGTTTAAGTCAGACCACCAATTCACATTCTGGAAAGTGAATCTTTTTCTTGTTTCATATTATTCCGCTATACTTAAAGAAAGTTAACACGTTTGTGGTTGTTGTCTTGGAAGCTAATAAAACTTCTAAAGGTTAGATCTTGGTCATGCTTGATACTGAAAAAAAGCTATTTGGAGCGAACAATACAAAATAACCAAAAGGCTTTCTATGGTCATTATCCATCTTGACTGGTTTCTGCAGCTTATCATTCAGATTAGGTATATGAAAGTCACTTGGTTGCATAATGCACAAATAAAGTCAAATTAGTTCAAATTGAAGTTTTTTTTTAACCAAAAATGTTGTATTCCGTATTTGATTTTTTTGTTATTTAGGGGTCTCACATTAAAATTCAAGATTCTGTCTCTTTAAATGAGATTCAGTTTGATTTTTAGAATATATACTGTATATATATACATAGAGGTGCCCAATAGGTCTGCCTCATGTCAGTCTGACCTCTTTTTGTGCTAGAGAAAAAGTGTTCCTTTTCCTGTTTCAATGAGAAATTTGGCTGCTAAACTTTCATCCATTTGCCAACAGGGCAAGTGATCTGAGCTGGCTATCCTCCATGGACAGTTTCTTAATTAAGTTACGCTTTCAATTAAAAAGACCCGACAATACACTGCGAGTTACTTCAGTGCATCTTCATCTGCATCCTGTTGCCGGGGCTATTTATCTGTTAAATGGCCAAAATGTTTTTTCTTATACTCACACCTTCATTAATACACTCCAACTCTACAGAGACACATTTGCAGGGGCAAGCAAATACTGAACAGAAGCAATCTGTCTGATGTGTGAAAAACAATAGCATCGCTACAGTACAGAAAAAGATTTACATTTATTGGATTTTTATACAGTGATCTCGGACATATTAACTCCTGTTCCCATTATCTGTCATCAAATATTATTCACAGATGAGGAAATTGAGAAAGTGAGAATCAAAGGTGAGATTTTATCACCAGTAAAAGAGAGAATTATCTTTATTGCATATTTAGGGAAATAAAGGAGTGCTCTACCTCTTTGCACTCTTTGGTAACCCTCTGTCCTGTCTGCAAAACACTGATGAAGATTGATGTTTAGGTCTTAATTAGCATCTGCTTTCGTATTCACACTGCCAGTATGTCCATTCCTGACTCTCCAATCGGTTAACAGACATGACAGCCCTTGTCCAATCAGATTAAGCCCAGTGGGACAGGCTTCCCGTGTGGAGCTGTCACTCACATGGTGTGGGCGCATCTGATGGATGTGATTTGGGACAGAAGTCCTAAATCATTTGTTTAAGAAAAAAAAGACTATCATGCATCATTGCTGGTGAAAATGGAGGTGAGGATCAGATAGAAATTGTCTTGCTTGGTTATTGAATTTGACGGTTTTGATGTGATATCTTGTTTATGTCAGAGACAAGTGCATTTATAGTGCTTAATTTATTGTCCCTGTCAGAACCAGCGTTTATGACACTATTTCAGTTTTCTTAGCATGCATCGATTTATTAAGTCTCTAACCCACTTAACTTCTGGATTGTCGTGGTTAGTTCATCTGTGTTCAGTTAACCTGACATGCATATTTTTGAATGGTGGGAGGAAGCCTGAGTCCCCTGAGAGAATATAGGGCATACATTGGGATAACATGCGAACTCTACAAAGAATGGTCCCCAGCATTCAATTCAGGACAAGACAAAATTACTAAAACACCACATCACCATTCAGCCTGGAGCAGTTGTCAAAAGATTTCCATTTTATTCTTTAAAATTTTTCATGGAAAACAAAAAAAATCCTGCCATCATAATGCTGATCCTACTGGGCATGTGGGCTAAGAAGCACAGCAGTGTACACTCAGTGTAGGACTTTTGGGAAGAAGTAAAACTGCACAGCTGACTGATTTAACCTAATGGACTAATTGCTGTGGCGATGAATGTATGCCTCATTGAAAAGGAGCTCCAGGGTTGTTAAATTCAGGGTGCTGCTGATTGAAATGCAACTCATGTATCACCCTGATAAGGGAGGCTGCTGCCATGAGAGATTTAAAAAAAAATATTTTGACAGAACAGTTTATAAGTCTTTGGGCTTTTCTTTGTGTTTAATGATGGGCTTTTTGATTTAAGGCAGCCTCAAAATATAGGTAAGATGAGCAATATGTCTAAAAGGGAAAAGTATATATATATTTATCACTGCATGTATACACAATCGTGCTTCGTCTAAATGCCATGGATGTGAAAGTTGTAGGGAGCATTGACACAGTCATGAAATTGAGCTGTGGGATTCCCTGTTGAGACAAGAGCAAGTCCCAATAAGATCAATCATCTGATTATGAAAAAGGCATTTACAGGATTCAGGTCAAGCAAGAAGCAATCATAGCCGAAGCTAGAGCAAGTCCAAGTCTAGAAAAACTGAATGTAAATAAGCTTAATGTCCTCTGAAGGCAGCGCGTGTCTGTATCAGAGCCCTAACGTCACACTTTTCCTCTGTCCCAGTTATATCACTCCGTCTTTGCATCCGCCCTCTTTCCCTCATCAACCCCCTTCTACCTTTTTTCGGTGACAGAGAAGACTCTCCTGCCACACTAAGCATTTCCAAAGAAAACTAATTGTGCATCACGCCCCAGCACGCCTTAAGAAATTACAAACAACCCGCCCCCTCCCCAATTTGCATTACTTTATCATATCCAAAGCACAAAACTCTGAGGCATAAATTGATAAAGTTTCATAAAGGATGTGCCATGTAAGCAGCAGCACATTGTGGCGCAGATTCCTTAGAAGGTGTTTGGGTATTTAGTGCGAGTCCCAAAGTTTTGCTGGCATTGCCTCTTTGATCTATTCTCCCCTTTGCAAGCTGTTTGCGTCTCACTGTTCACATCAGCAGCATGTCGCCTGGTGGTTCATCTACCGGGGCTATAGCTCTCATTAGCACCTGTGCTGACATGACTGGCATCTCATCTGAAGCTTGTTTTCTTCTCTTCCCTTCCCCTCTTTTATTTTCCATTTCCCTGTCAGGTTACCTTTTGTCTGTCGGATCCCTGAAAGCTCTATTTTCACCATCGTTCCCCTTCTCCATTCTCCCTCCGAGTTTCACTGTCTCCCTCTTTTCCTCTTCTCTGCTCTTCCCCTCTCACTCTGTCTCCATCCCTACCAGGGGTTTTTAATTAATGGCGAGCCATGATGCTTATCTTATCAGCAGATCACTCTGCTTTCTATTAACTACACTGACAGAGCTGGAAAGCTGGAGGGGATGGATTACACAGTCACTCAAACTCACAGATGTACTTGTGCACATCCGCACATTATCCGACGCATGCATATACTTAAGTAAAGAAAAGATTTGATATGGATATATATATATATCCCAATGCAAGCGCACAAAAACCTATGATCATACTCTGAGAGGTTCTAACAGGCACAGAGGCAGTTGTGTCCGTTCACACACACATCAAGATCCTATCTCACTCTAGCCACACAGCCATAAACAAACTGCCCTGATGGTATCTGACTGTGCGATTTAAGAAACACTGTTTGAGGGTCTCTCCTCCTAAATCCCCTAAATGTCTTGGGAATACCACCCTCCCTCTATCTCTCCTTTACCGCCCTCCTTCAGTCCTTTTTTCTGCCTGAATGAACACTTATCATTCCGCAGATAAAGAGCCGTCCACGTCGGGGCACGCTTTATCTTTGAGAGCCATGTTTGCTTCCCGTGAATCTCTCGCTTTTCACCAATGTTTCTATGGCTGCGGCCTCTCGATCTGACAGAGAGGAGAGAACCGTGTTTAGCCTTCATTTTATGCCACTAAAACCTCGGGTGCACACACACATAAATGCCATCCTCTTCCCCCATAAATTTGAACTACTCAAGGCGGTCAATTGAGCCATATTTCCATATTTTCACGTTCGGGTTGAAAGAGGAAGGGGGGCAACATAAATCATGTCAGTTTTGATGGGGATTACAGTCAGAGGCCTTTAACCACAGAATTATATCCAATGAAGGCAGAAACAACTAAATCAATCCCCTAACACCACAATCGATGGGTGCGGCAAGTTTTCAACATGGGTTTTTTGTTGGATCTCTGTGGAAGTTGACAGTTTTCTCAGAGAAAAGCGAAAGGGAGAGAAAGGAAAAGCTGTCCAGAGTGTGGATTGCAGGACATATTACAATGGTTTGAGGCAACAGAAACACAACAGATTTTTACCACTGACACTAAGTACTCTGCTCATTACGGTGATGAACGTTTTTTGTTGAAAGAATATCTGTTTACTCATACCCCTTATCTGATTTTGAAAGTGGTCTTAAGTCCAGGCAGTCAAGGGAGACACCCGCTTGGAATCTTATTTCTACTAATACTTGCCAGATTATCCCAAATATACACTTTAAGAAAGGAATTTCCACAGAAGTGGAATGGCAAGTACCATAATGTTGTGGGAGATTGATAACTGGATGCAGAAGACACTTTATTTCTGTGAAAGGCGGTTCGACAAGCCGGATCAAATCACTTTCTGCTTTTTCTGCCGACTAAAACCTCTGAATATGGAGGCGATGTGCCTCATATTTCATATCACTGTGTAAATATTCATAGCTGCCACTTGCTTAACCCACCTGCCTTGAACTTGTCTGCACCCGTTTTCCGCACGGCGATTGATGAGTATGTTTCGCAAATCTAGCATTTAGCGAGCTATTCGCTTAATTTATGTTGCGCCATGATTCTTGGTTTGCTGTTCCTTTTATGAAGTGTTTGAGATGCTGGGAAGCTCAGTTTAGTTTATCTTTTTTATTCATCTCTTTCTCCCTATGTGCACAGCATGGCCAATAAAGTAAGTAGTTGAATATGTTTAGATTTTGGGATGTACAAGTCTCATTTATTGGACTCTTCACAGGTAATCTCTTGTGAGTCTGCCAGACGCTTTGTTAACGTGTCAAAGCATTCAAAGTGCCTGTGTTTTTTTTTTTGTAGAGAGTTTGGGTGGAGAGATCCGGAGCTGCCAGAGGTGATCCAGATGCTACAGCACCAGTTTCCTTCTGTGCAGTCCAACGCTGCAGCCTACCTTCAGCATCTCTGCTTCGGAGATAACAAGATCAAAGCTGAGGTTTGTTCGTCTCTTTGCCTGCACGTGTCTTGCATTTAATCTCATTTAAGCATTCTGTCTAAGTGTAAGTGTTGCATTGATTAAAAATGAAGATAAAAGCCATCAAAGTGTGTGTCTGAGGGACATAGCTAATGATGTCAAACAGATCTATGTGGGGGGGGGGGAAACTTTTTGGAAAAATATTACATCAACTAACAAGTTAATTTTCTGCATAATAAATCCTTTCACACTCGCTCTGCTGATTTAGTCCCTTTCACTGAGTTGTATCCACAGATGGAGCTCCGTTAGTCCCACAGCAGCATGTTTGCCCCTCAAAAGACATTTTGCTGGCAAGCCTCTTTGAAACACTTGAATAACCCCTTTAATAAAGCTCGTGGCACGCAAAACAACAGTAGTGGCATGTGTAGATGTGCTCACACTTAAACTTGTTGATCCCCTATGTCTTCTGTTTTCTTTTTTTCCTTAACAAGGGAACACACACCTTCTTATATTGCCAGAGAGTCAATTTGCCACTACATTCTATCAAGGGTATTAGCATTTTTTATGTGAATTTATGTCAATAGCTGCTTCAAAACCTCATTTGAAAATGGTGCTCCATCACTAAATCAAAGCGCACCGATATTAAAATGTGTGCGTTTGATAATTATGTTACACAAATGCCAAACATATATGACAAATGAAGAAAATAAAAAAGGCAATATTTTTCTTAATCCAATTTGTTTAAATACTGTTTAAATACATGAAGACATTAATCATTTTCATTCATATCAGCCCTTTCTTCCTCCCACACAAACACACACATACATAGAAACAAACACTGTCACACTGCTGTTCAATAAATCACATTTCATTTCACTCCCACTCCCTTCATCCATTTTCCTCTGAAAGAAAGACAAGTGTTTGTTTCCTTTTTAGGGTGTAATTACAGCGTGAATAGAGGTGTCCAACAATAGAGAGAATAACACCTGTCAATAGACAATAGAGGCTTTTGCCTGCCCTCATAATACCGTGTGATTGTCTTACTCAGAGCCTGAGGTACTGCCAAACACATTGTTTACACAAAAAGAGATACAAGTCAAACGAAACAACTCATACGTCTACGGCAAGCATGCACAAGTCATACAGAGGCGTACATCAAGCATCTGTATTATGCAGACACCTTTTTAAAGAATCTGTTCATGGAAGAACAAATTTGATGAATATCATCTGGCCAGATATAGGATATTGAATCAAGTTAAGTTCTTTTAACTATATTTAAATGAGAGATACCAGACACTTTCTGTACGATAAATGAGATGAATTATTCCTGAACAAATAACCCTACTGTGTTACAGCATGACAGTTCAATGTCCATGTGTCTTTTTGGACTTTATTATCATTTTGTTATTGCTCCTTCAGAACAATTTTTTGCATTATTTTCATTTACACTTTTCTTGTGGTCTTGAGTGATAACCTTTCCTCACTGTCTGTTTTTTGCAATATTTCCTCCCCTGAGCTTTTAAGTCAGAAGTTGCTGTTTTTTTAAGTTAGGAGAATGGAACTGAGGAACCAGCAAATGTTTGAGGACATTTTCAAACATTTACTCCTGAACATTTTTCTTTTCTCAGTATTTCTTGGTATATGGCAGCATAGATTAGATTCCAATTGAACATTACAAATTAAAAAGCCAATGGGCACTTATGTATAAGCTATCAGACAGAATGAAAGATAAAGATATGTTCAATTAACCTCTAACATATTTATCTTTACTTTGTTCCGTTTGAGAGACTGCTAAACATGCCGTATTGGGTATTATCAAAGTCTTTCTTTGCTACCATGATGCAGAAAAGAATAACTGAAAAAGACATCGGAAACGTTGATTGGTCACAATTCAATGGAGTCATACACAATACCTTTTCTACCCGTATACCACTAGTTTTATTATTCATGGCCTTAGTTTATCATAATTGTGAGGGAAGCTTCTGTTCTAGGCTGCCAAAGCTTTACATTTTACTGTTGATAAATCTGTGACTTTGCCCTGGCCTTTTTATGAGAACATTATTGGGTAGCCACAGGTTAATACCTTGTTTGATGCAATTTAGTAAACCAAATTGGGAAACGTTTACCATAAGCCAAAGCCCTAATTAGCTGACAGTTGAAAGATTTTAAAATGCAATGAGCTGCAGGCAAAGTGTTATTAATGAAAAATAATAATAATAAAAAACAGCTAAAAGAAAAAAAAATGCAGTGGCTGTGTGAGTACACTCACAATGATTCAAACACCTTTATTTCTGTGTAATATTACAGAGTGTGCCTTGAAAATGCAAAACAATGAGTATAAAATTAGAATACTTTATTGAAATGTCTAAATAATAAATCCAAAGACTTTCTTACAGTGTTATAGTAAGAATACAAACGTTAATTATATGATGATGTAAATGGGGAATTTTTTTACCAAATGTTTTGTGGAAGGATTTTTAAGAACAGTGAGAGCCTCTAGCCTCTAGCTCAGTTTTATCTCCCCTCTTTTCTGATGGAATAACCTGGTTACTCAGTATATTCTGTTACTCGGGTGACCTCATTTTCTGGATGCATAACGTTGCTGAACCTCGACCTCAACTATTACAGCAACCTCAGATCATTGGACTGCTCCTATGACCTGTACAGGAAGCACCAGGCATGATGGGAAATCACTTCATCTGACTCTCTTCTAACCCTGACAAGCCTGTCATTCTGGGAAATCTGGCCTTCTATTCTTCCAAATTCAAAATCTAAATGCTCCCTAGCAAAATGAAGCCCTTTTCTCCAGGTAGCCTCAGTAATTGGTGGTTTTCTCATGGCCACACAACTGTTCAGTCTCAATCGCTTGAATTTCCTTACTCATTGTGTGTGTGGAAATGCTCTCACTTTGACTATTAAACACAATCCTTAGCTCTACTGTTTTTTCTCTCTGATTCCAAACGTTTGATCATCAAACGTTTAGGGGATCACAGATCACAATCCTTCAGGATTTCTTTCTGAGCTCCTTTCTGACATGAAGATGAAGTTTCCCCACTTTTATTTCCAGGTTCTGATGATGCGTTTGACAGTTCTTCAGCCAATTTTAGGACTTTCTGCAGTCTCCTCAGATGTTTTCTCTGCTTAATGCATGCCAATAATCTCACCTGTCGTAAACTCCTGTTTTTGTTTCTGTCCATAGAAAATCAGAATACAAGTGATACTGATCACAACCGTAAATGCACAAATAATTGAAAGGTGTTGTATTAATGATAACAATTTCCAGAGAGCCACCGATTAGTGTTATTGTTCTGTATTTGTTGACTAAAACAAACTTTCCTAAATCACATGCTAAACTCCCCGGTGTCACATGTGTATCTCGCTGCCACACATCTTCTGCTGGCAACACCTCTGATTCCCACTATCCCAGCTGTCACCACTGCTAACTGTTACCAGGCAATACTGTCGCTATGGGTTACCAATAGCCGTGCCTGCTGCAGAACAGCAGGAGACAAAGGCAAATCAATCTGCAGTTCAAATCATCTTTACACGGAGCGGAGGAATAAGCGGAAAAGTACTGGCAAGCCTTTTAGGTCGCTCAGTGGCAATGCAAAGTACAAGCACTGCTGCTTTTTTGTGAAATATCAGATTAACTGTGACACAAACATGAGGAGGAAGAGGGGAGACGTGCAGAGATCAGCAAAGGAGAAGGGACGTGAAGTACAGGAAGGAGCAAAGGTGATGAATCTTAGGGAAAAGCTTTTGAGCACATCAGGTTTAGGTAACTTTAAGGCAAATTAATCAAATTTATATATATATCAAGCAAGCCTGATCTGTAAAGTAGCTTTGATCCTGACTTGTCAAAAAAGGAATCCCACAGATGACCTACTGAAAGATGAAAGAGATAATAAAGGAAGACGACCATCTTGTCACACGTTATTGTTCTTAGCATCTCTGTGTACACAAGTAAACTCCATCCAGATGCTGTTTCGCAATGACACAGTCGGTTATTTTTTAATGCGTTTGTCACGCTTTCCATCTCAAGATGAAGACAGTAATTAATTTTTTTATGTTCCCTTTGAGTGAATTCTACCTGTTGCTGCACTCCTGTCGGATAAAATAGCGGCGGAGGCAGTTTGCTGTTGTAAAGGGCAACGAGTGTGAGCGACTGCTTGTCTCCCGGTGATCACAGCAGCCCGTTCGTAGTGATTAGTGCTACACCCCTGTTGGCTGAACCAAACACGGGCTCTTATAAGCTCTCTGGCTCCCCGAGGCTGATGAAGATCCCCGCGGCGGCGATGTGGTGTGGGTGGGTTTAAAAAGCAACAGCATAGGGAGTAAGCAATATGTGAAGCACCATGGGGGGAAAGGCATTATGTGTAACAGCAGACTGCATCCAATGCGATCCCTACAGAGTTAATAGCCCGGGCTGTTTCACTCTCATCCGTTATCAGGACATAACCGTAAATTTACACTGATTTGTTAGTTTATTCCTCTCATTTCTGGCTCGTGCGTTTGGGTCTTTGCATTTATTATAACTAAGCAAATACAGCAGGACTGTAAAGCAGAAGGCAGGCGGGCCAAAGACGTATCATCCATGGCGATTCTGAACAAAGAAATAAGACCCTAAAACACACACACATTTACATGCACATGGTACACAGTGTAGTAACCACCTGCATAGAAAAACAAACATTTCCGGAAAAGAGTGCTTTTTTTTTAAGATTCAGCATTTCAGATTACAAAAACGTATAAGATATGAACTACCTGATTCATTTTTCCTTTTACCTCTGTTATAATTTTTCGGTGTGTTCTCATTTTCTTTTCTTTTTTTCATTGACTCTTTATTTTTGATGCTCAGATCCGCCGACAGGGAGGCATCCAGCTTCTGGTTGATCTACTGGACCACAGGATGAGTGAGGTTCATCGCAGCGCCTGTGGGGCTTTGAGGAATCTGGTATATGGCAAAGCCAACGACGAGAATAAAGTGACCCTGAAGAACTGTGGTGGCATTCCTGCCTTAGTTCGTCTGCTGAGGAAGACTGGAGACGTGGAGATCAAGGAACTGGTCACAGGTATACTATTACAGACTTAACCTTAACCTCTCAGTTCTTATGTAGTAGTGTTTTCCAACACAATTCTGGCTTTTTGGAGAGGAGAGAAGGGCCTCTTTTGGTGTGTGTGTGGGTATGTGTGTGTGCATGTGGTTGTTATGTTGTTGTTTCAGTCCACATTTCCATAAAAAAGCTGCACATCTCTGCTGACCACCAAGTTCATGTTGGCAAAGATGCAAACATGCACATGTGATACACGTAGCAAAAGAAAAATGTCCAAAACCCAGTTACAATATATCTTTCCTGGAAAATTAATAGCCTCCTTGAGCTTCTGCAGCCCTGACCAGGTATGAGGTGTCAATTTTAATGTTTGTGACAGCCTGTTAGAAGCTCTTTTTAGCAGATTGCTGAAGGCAATCACTGACAAGGTATCAAATGAGAGAATAACAAGCAATTCCAGGTTTGCCCCCTGTTTTCTTTTATCCTCAAGGCTAGAATATAAAGGTCCGATAGTCACAGTTTAATTGACAAGAATGCAACAGCACTGATAAAGACCTAATTTCTTTCTAAAGCATAATGATTTGCCGATTAAATCTGTTCATAAAGATGTTTGTGCTGTGCCACCATACACTTTCATCTGCTGCGCATATCTCCCTGTTTGACATTTCCCAAACAGGAAATCTCCGAGTCTCGGTTTGTGGTGTACTCAGTGCAGGGAGTGAATGTGCCGGCAAGCTATGGTGCTTTCAGTTAAAAGAAGAGTGAGCTGTTTATACAGAGCTTTCTGTGCTTTCAAGAATGACTTTATTTCCTGTGAATTGATCAAATACATCAGAACCCATTTTCTTTTAATCCAGCAAATTTGTAATGTTTTTGCAAACATGTGAGTCTAAACATGTGAGTCTGCACAAACCTTGCGCACTACAATCAAAGAGCAATCTATTTTTTTTTCCTCTATGAGAAAAATGGCCGTAGATGGCATGTATTCCAAGTATTTAGTTTTTTTAGTCAGTCACGACTCTTCATCATTGTCTTACGGAGAAAGAAACAGGCTCATTCGGCCTTGGCTGCACTTGCAGCAGATTGAAAAGAGTGACTTTGCTTTTTGTGGAATTTATCTATTCAACTCTTCTGAAAGGTTTGCTATCCATTCAAAAGAATCCAAGGCTGTTTATCTTAGCCTCTCGCAACTGCCAAACAATTTCACAAGTCACCTGAATTTTATTTAACAGCCAGCTTTCCAGAAGACTCTGGAAGCATACTGACGTCTTGTTGTGTGCCTTCTCTTCTCATGACTTACGTGTGTATTGCTTTTCTTTTGACCGTTATGTTGCCATGCATTTTTTCTGTTGGGTTTTATTGAATCAATCAAGTGTTAAAAATGTGCTGTCCTTTAAATTTTCAGGCCGATTAAGTTTTAACCTGACAGAATCAACAGTTAAAATTCGCCAGTGGAATTTACACATTGCCAGAGTGAACAGACCCGAACACACAAACGTCAAGATTCACATGCTTCGATACACTTATGTAAACAAACTCAAAAATGTGTGTAGGCAGAGGCTGCAGAGATGAAATCTAAGCACCAAAGGGAGCTTGTCGGTTAATTCGATTTCAATATTTGCTGGCTTATTTATTTATTTTTTGGCAATACTTCTTCCCACGGGCAAGTAAATATCATGTTGATGCAGCAGCTTCTAAAGCAGTACAACAATATCCGCACAATCACAACTATAAGGATCTGCAGAATGTGTGAATATTTAATATGGAAATAATGTAATGTACAGAGGGAGAAAAACATGATACATCCTTTTGGGTGTTTCTGCGTTTGTGTCCGCCATACTGTTGTCTTTTGGTCTCCAACAGGTTTTATTTATTTATTTATTTGTTTATTTGATAGGTACAAGTATGTTTCATGAATCATGTCACACACTACAACATTTAGCTAAGGCTAATTCTCAATGCCTGTCCCCAGTTAGGCTTTTACACAAAACACAGGTTAGACCCGTAATAAGAGACATATGTAGTCCGTATGAGGTTTGGACATTTTGGACCATTTACTGAAGTGAAAATCTTGAGCAGAAACAGGGAATAGATTTATGCATAAAGTAAGCTGTTTTTGCCCCACCGCGAAAAAAAACGACTAACAAATTGGAAAATGATGACTATTATGAAAAAGATATCCAACCTTTGACCACTTTGACAATCTATTAAAATGTCAATTATTACTTGGATTTATCCAATGTCGGTCAAATAAAAAGAGAAAATGAGAAATGGGAAAAACTATGAACATGGTTTAATTTGCATTTGCTTGGGTGACTTATTGTTCTGTTAAGTCATTTCAGTAATACGAAAGAAACATTTTATGGTGTTAACGTAATGCTGACATGACATATCAGAAATGTGAGCTTGGCATTTTTAAGTGCAAGGGATCTTTAGGTCTATAACAAATTATTATATTTGAATTGGAAAATATGGCAACCCCGAGAGAGAGAGAAAGCATGAAATTAGAAAGCACGACAAAAACAAAGGCATGTAATTATCTTCTGGTCCGTTCAGAAATATGGAACTTACAGCAAATAAACTTGAAACATTGTGGGTATATCTTCTGTCGCATGTACCCTCATCTACTCTTCTCTAGACAGAATTGTCTTTCACAAAGGATAAAAAGATTTGTTGACCTAATCTTAACCAAAATTACGAGGAGGCTAAACTCAACTACACACAAATGTCGTAGTAATGGCAGCTAGTGGGCTTTGCCTTTTGGGAAGATCTGGCACTTGGCGGAATATCACTGAAATGCTTAGAGGCCAGCAGATCAAAAACAGGGTATACAGATGGAACCTTTGTGTGCATCTAATTTGGTCTGATAGCAAATTAAAAAGGAAATCAAATGCACTGCAAGTCACACCATATCATATTTTGATCACTGTTTTTTTAAAATAAATATTAGTCTGGTGTAAATGGACTCACAGTGTGATGTTTGATCCTCCATCTTCCTTTTCTTGTGTTTTTCTGTTCTTTGGCCTTCTTGGTCTGGCTGGCCACTGCTGAAGGTTGGGAGATTTAGTGTCATGCATGACTTTACACCATTGACTCCATCTTCCTGCTGAGCGCCGAGCAACACATTTTAAAGACTTCCATACCAGCATGACGATTTGTTAAATTCTCCCTTCATTTGCCTCAAGGAACACCCTGCTGGGGCCGCAGCGTGCAACTCAAAATTGATGCACAACTATTTAGTAATTCCATTAGGTTTCTGTAATGTCTGATTCATGATACTTTAAATTCGGTTTGATAATGTACAATTCCTACATTATTTACAATCTTTGTGTCAAAAGCACATTCAAATATGATAGTTTTGTTCATGAGTACTTAAAAGAAACTAAAGGGTATGGGTAACATTATTAGCCTCCCACAGAAATCATATGGATGCGTGCATGTTCTCCCTTTTTATTATTTGCGTTCTCTGCAGGTTCTCTGGCTTCTTCTCACTGACCAAAAACATGTCCAGTTAATTGGCATCTATGAAGTGACTATAGCAGTGTGTTTGAGCATGCACGGTTGTGTGTCGCGGTCATCTCTGTGATGGACTGGCAGGGTGTACCTGTAGGGCATCGACAGCTGGGATAGGCTCCAGCTCTCCTGGAACCTACTTGGAATAAGCAAGCATAACAAATGGATGGATGGAAATAAATGGTAGCTTTGCAGTACAGGCAACACAGAAGAAGTGAGAATCAAGGCAGATCTTCGAAAAATAATAGATACAGCATAAACAAAAAAATCCTAGATGGAGTGGTTTATGTATTTTTAAAGTAAAATGTTATTTATTAATATACTTTTACTTTGAAAATACATAAACCATCACATTGGGATTTTAAAAAGCTATTGACCACCATTGATAACAACTTATTTTTTTGTAGAAGAAAGGTACAATGTCTAATGCTCAACAAGATTGCATTCCCATCAATCTCTGACTGCCAGTGCAAGTTGTTCACAAAACTATTCTAAAGATTACAATTTCTTTGACTCTGAGAGATTCTTTGCAGTGGCACATACTCAGATAACTCCAGCAGACATGGTCCTTAACTGCTGGGCTCGTCTAGGAGGTTGTACTTGAGTCAAACTTATCTGCCTCCTCATTATTGTGCTGAGGATGTCAAAGACATCCAACTATTTCCCCTCTTCTCTGTGATTCAATGATCTGCTCAAGTCTGAGGAAATGAGACAGGGCGCACTTTTTTTTCTTTTGGTGACCGGAAAAACCTTCCTTCAGCAATTTGCCCTATCTCCCTGTCGTTCTGAAGTTTAAATTTAGACCAGCTTTATTGGCCTCTCAGCATGAGATAGATAGCACAAAGCCAAGGCTTCCGGGCCTGTCAGTCAAAGGCTGGTCGATGCAGAGGCTCTGAGCATCAATAGGAGATGCTATCCAGACCTCTGGGCTCACCTGGATGCGTTGGACCATGCCCTCAGTTGCTGCTGCCGCATGTGCTCTGAAACGCTAGTGGTGCTGATAAGAAACCGCCAAACAGACCTGTGCCCAAAACAGTGTCACATTTATTTGACCTTTTCAGTTTTCCGTGGTTAACATTTTTTATTTCAAAATGTTTTCAGCCATTAGTTTCCCATTAAAAAAAAATCAGCCAAGCCTCCCTTGGCAAAGCAGAAGTGTTGGGCAGAGCACGACACTCAGATTCCAATTCTGTTGCCATAATGCTGAACACGACAAGGGGAAGACAAATAAATTAGAATAAAAATCATCCAAATAGTTGGCTTCTTTCAGCAAACAGGTCTTTACACATTTCTGCTGATAGTGTTGGATGTCATAACATATCAAATAAATCAAATGAATAATAAGGAAGGCTTGTTTGACTGTAAGATTTGACAAAAAGTAACTATCTAAAATCAGAAACTTTGAACGATAACTGAAACTTTGAAAAACGAATCGCTCCTTGAGGAACCATTTTTTCTCTTGGAATTTTCTGTTTGCCGAACTTGAAGTGACTGTCACGTCTGCTGTTTTCCACTAAGAATTGTTAGCGGCAAAGCTCAGAATTCAATCAGACTGTTTGTCCTGCATGAGTACATTTGTTTTTGAGTTCCTTCAAGTGATGAAATGTTTGTCTTTTAAGTATATGGCCAACATTTCCATGCTCCATATGCTGGGATATTATAGTTTCCCGCAGATGCATCGGGGCTATATTTTCGCAAAAGGAAGCCAAGCATTTCATCGTCTACTTACGGAGGTTTTTCACCAATCTGGTGCCTCAAAGAAAAACCGTTTGTTCCCGGAGGTTAAGTCAGCAATTGTTAACCTGCTGTCATCTGGAATTTTCTACAAAATTAGTTTTCTTTTTTTCCCATTCACAGCTTTTTGTAGTTACGCAGGCTCGGTGATTTGTCATTTCTGGCTTTACTCATCACCAGGTTCTGACCCGGCGGCTAACTAATTCACACTGAGCCGCAAAGATGACGGCTGTTTAATAAAACATGGTCACTTGAGGCCTAACAGGTCTCACTCTCCCTTTACAAGTCTACCTCTCATTTATTCATGAATTCATGCAATCATCTCCCCAAACCACTATTTTCCCCAAACCACCCAGTTCCTAGGAAACTGTCGGCCAGGCTCCTGATGAGAACTAGTCAGAGGTGGGGGAGAATGAGATGACGACAAAGGGACCAGACTGGGAAGAAAAGAATAAAAAAGCTCACACACACACACACTCGCACACACAGGATGATGTCATTGTCTTTCGGTCATCTGATTTAAAACCCTTTTGGATGCTGGGTTTGGGAAAGCATTACAAATCTACAGGTTTAGAAAAGTGCCTGAGTTTGGGTGGGTAGGCACGTGTCAGCCTAGAGTGGTTAAAATATAGGAGAGTGGCAGACACGTTGTCCTTTTGTCCAAATTAATCTAAAAAAAACCCAGAGGATTCTTAAGCTTTATGTTTCTTCCTCCTAAAACCTCTTTTTTGACTTTTTACTCAAAAGAGAATGAATTGTGTGTGTCTCCTGTTAGGGTTTTTTTAGGGGTTTCTTCCAATATATCAGCCAGCACAGGTATAGAAAAGAAGCTGAAAGATTGTTTTTTTTTTTTTGTGGCTTTTTCTTGCTTGGTTTTGCAAGCTTTGCTTGGCTTGCCGGCAGACAGGTACTTGTAAGCTCATCAAAGACGACACAGTTCTAATGTGATTGCAATCAAACACCAACAACAAGCAGCACTTGAAAAGAAAGAAAGAAAAAGGAGATGGACAAAAAATGATGCAGGCATGGAGGACAGTAAGTGTTCTGCTCTGTGCCGTTGTTTGTGGGGAGACTCCCACCAAAGACTGAAATGTTGTAAAAAAAACTACACAATAATCAAGTAAAATGCATACATCACACAGGTACAGCCTCGGTATAAGTACCTGATTGCTGCCGAACAACAGGCACCTCAACTTCCTTTTCATCCCAAGCTGTTTCTCTCACTCACAAGCACACATATTTTACCATTTTCTGTAAATATCTCCGTTTTCCACCACCAACCTTTCCCTAAAATTCCCTCACACTAGCAGTGTCACCTCCCCTTCTCCACTCGCACAGTTCATCTCAAGGAGGCGATAAATGGAGTTTACACAAAAGCTCAGTTGCAATTTTTTTTTAAATGAGGGGTTTAAATAATTGAACTTTTTTAATATGTTTACAAATCTGCTTCTGGGTCAGCATTGCAGAAGATGTTGCATGTTTAAGATAGTCAGCAAGCATGAAGTTTTTTGGTCATTAACATCTGTATTTTTTTTCACTCTTCTACAACTGGCTTTCATTCAGTCCCATGACTTTAATTTGACTTTTGTTGTGCTTTATTATCATTCCACATTTCTCATTGCCCTTTCACGTCTTATTCTTGGCCTGATTGCTTGCTATTCCTCTGACTTTCATTATGACTGACACTCGTGCCATAGAAGTGAAAGGCATCACATCTGGCATTGCTTTTGGCATTGCAGATCTGGCTTCTAGTCAACATCCCATGCCTCCAAAGCAATTTTGCAGTGTAGTGGGATTTAATTCATCCGTTCCTGACAGTCTCTCCAGACCCCTTTTTACCATATCCATTGTTTTAGGATAATGATTGTTTTGTTTAGACTTCATATTTTGCTTATGCACACTGAGCAAAGCCATAAGAGTATATGGATCAGGATTTTTTTGTTGTTTGCTGTGTTTTGACAGTTTTCTATTGGCCTCTTAACTGAAAGAGGTTAGAGATCCAGCTACGGACAAATCCCTGTGGAGCTTTTCAGTGTTGTTTGAATTTCAGGTGACAGTCTGTAAAATTGTATGTTTAAGTTTAGATTCAATCTGACAAAACATTCCCAAGACTCGAATTGGATTTTATTACTGAATGAACAGAACATGTTTTCAAAGCCTTCATGGGCATTTGCTGTTGCTGGACTGTATATATGGAGTACATAGTGTCAGGAGTTGTATTTCTTTGCTAACTATGAAGGGGAACAACATGGGTCAGGTTGGTCCCACAGAGTTTGCTTTTATACATACATGTACCGTATAAATATGATTAAATTAAACTCTACAGCTTCCCAACTGCTTTGATGGAAAGGTATTATAGGTATTTGCACTCTAAAACTGTTTTGTTTTTTTCATCTAGCTTCCTTACCCTGTATCGTTATTATTTTGGGGTCTTTCATCTGTGCCACTCTCCATTTCATACATTTTACTTTGTAGCTTGTTACTATATTTGTACTCCTTCTAATTGGTATCTCTCTCAGCTTGCACGCTGGGAGGGGCTGATCATTGCAGTCAGCAGGGACCAACAAATATATTTAGAGTGAAAAATGCTGATGAAGCCCGCATGTGTGTTTGAGGTTTGCATGTGTATGAGTGCGTCACAGCTGACCGACAAGGTTAGAGCTGTCACCCTTCTGAAAAGAGGCATCTGGTATTCCATCTGACAAAGACATGGGAAAATGTGTGGGTGTGCATACTTGTGAGCCCGTGCTGTGTGTGATTAAGTGTCAAAGAGGCATTCATATGACTATGGATAAAGATATGCTCTCATGCTCAGTGTGTGTGTGCGTACACACTTAAACACCTTTGAAAATGCAACCGAATTCATTTAATACCACTCAGATATTTCCCCCACTTATTTTATGGGCGTGGTCTACAAAATGTGATTGACATATATTTATACCCTTTGTAGTATATCTGTTTAGACCTGTCTTTAATGACATGAATATAATCACTAATGTTGAGAGACATTTTTTCATGAAGACTTGGGTAGTAATTCTGCAGGGTTTGGGCTTTTATCTACTTTTTTCAATCTATCTACCTCATCTTCAATGTTTTTCTTATTTCTAAAGGTTTACCTAATACCAGCAAGAATGAATTGTTTAGTGCACTCATCGCATTCATGTTATGCAAGCTTTTTTGTCTTATTTGAATGCATTATTGAGTGGTAACAAGTGCAACTTAAAATTTGTTTCAGCTGTTAATAATAACTGCTTTTTTATCTCAGAAATGACAACAAAAAAACAAGCAGTGTGGATGTTTCCTAATGTGTGTTTCCCTCTGAATCGGTGCATGTGCAGGTGTGCTTTGGAACCTTTCATCGTGCGATGCGCTAAAGATGCCAATCATCCAGGACGCTCTGGCTGTTCTGACTAACAGTGTCATCATACCCCACTCCAACTGGGACTCTTCCCCGAATCACCATGATGACCGCAAGCTCCACCTTCATACCTCCCAGGTGCTGCGCAATGCTACAGGCTGTCTCAGGTAAGGCAGGATTAGCATCTTTCTCTTCTTTCAATTTCTCCCTGGAGATCAATAAAGTATATTCAATTCAATTCAATTTCACTCTGATTTACTTCTATTTAAACTTTCATCAAAAATGCTATTTACACACTACACAGAACATGTGTTCCCACTTATTTTTTTCCTTCATATATTAATCAGAAATGCGTTTTTTTACAGGGGTTTTATACTTTATCTTCTCTGCTGTCAATATTTGCACTGTTTTCACCTGCGTAAGAAACTATGTACTTTGCCATGGTTAATATAATAACCTCTCATGAATATAATTAGGCAGTTTGTTTGGGAGGGGGAATTTTGGCTGAACCTTCACTGCGGTGTTATTATGTGATAGATGTATAGGAACACAATATAAACAGTAATATGCATAGCTTTTTCCTCCTTGACACCTTCTCGCTAACTTGTGCTGTCACCATAGAAACAACTCCTCCACTTGTTCAAGTCCTTTTTATTTTGACTTTGTCACTGTGTGTCGTGTTGGAGAAATCTCTCTCTGCTTTAGGTTTTAACGGACAACAAGGACAACTAAATATGTCAGCCACGATGTCTATTTCAATGCTAGTCTGAGCAGTTCGGTCCTCACTGATCTGTTGTTTGGCACAAATGTTTGCTCAACCAAGAAAGATTGTTTTCTAACTTTTTCATCTGTTACCGATTATGTTAGAATTTTCATTCCGTTTGGCTTTTTTCTGCTTTAATGTCCGTCGTTCCCACGAGTTGACAGAGCACTTAGTCGATGATAAAGTTGTGCACAAAAAGCCAAGCACTGAAATGGGGATTTATCCTTTTTTAGGGCAGGCCGTTGTCATTTTCATCATCAGTATATTCAAGCCTGACATGTTTGAGCTTTTCCCCTCCAGATATTTGTTTGAAGTTTGTCCAAAAGGAAACTATTTGGTACATCCATGTGATGGACTGGCAAGTGTATCGCCCTCTTGCCCAATGGCCCTTGAGATTGGATTCAGCCTTCCCCCCACGCCCCGCATCCGATTTAGAAAATAAGTAATTGATTGATGGACAATTTGGAATATGTATTCAAATTTGAAATATACTTCCTAAAACAGCTGGAAGCAATACTTTCTCAATCAGTAAATGCCTGCTCACTGGCTAAAAAGTAACACAGACTAAGTGGAAATGGTGGGGAAATGCTTCTCAAACATAACACCTATTTAACAGACATATGCCAGTAGCCGACAAACGCTAAGCCAGACGAAAGTTTCTATTAGTTTTTCTGCTCATATAAAAATGAGGATTTGTTGTTATAAACCTTTTAAAGCTAAATAATCTGTTATTTGTGATGTCTTATTTTCACCCCCAGCACAGTTCATTGGAAAACACTGCAAGTGTGCGTGGGTGTCTAAAGGTGAAGGAAAAGACAGATGATGGTGTCACTGACCTGCTCAACACTGTGAAGTTACAGATCACATTGTAAAATTTGCAAACGCAAAGGAAGAGACATAGTAATGGTGGAGTGAGAGATTGAACAAATGGTGAACGCTCAAGTGGAGAGAATAACACAGAAATAAAAATGCTTCTAGAGTTCTCTGGTGAGGTTTTTTTTTTTCCGTTCCCATCTCATCTTCTTTCTGCGGGGTTAAAGTGACACAAGACCACAGTGTTCAGGTCTCTGTGTACCTCGTTCAATTTCAGACCTCTCACCTATCTTATTATCTCTTGGCTGTGTGCTCATGCATTCCATGAAAACCCGTATGAAACTTTCTCTTTAACCTTCATTTGTGTTTCAGCTTCAGTGTGGTGTTAATCTTGTGCTGCAAAGTATAATATATAGTTAGTGCATACATGTTTGTGTTCCATGTGTGTCCAGAAACGTAAAGGCAGTAGGCCAACTCAGTCTCAGAAACTGGCAAGTGGAACTGTTATAATTGGAATGAAGCTATGCAGGACCATCAGCTGGTTCCATTATGAGTGTAAGCTACTTTGTCGATGCTCGTGTATATTTTCATTCTAGTTTGAATTTGGCTTTATGCAATACAATAAATGGTTGCCAACCAGCTCTGGTGCTGTCTGACCAATTAGTTTCGGCACACAGACAGGATTTTGGGCCCGAACTGCATGTCACAGAGGTTGTCTGTTTAAACGATCCAAACTAAAATTCTGTGAAACAATCACAAAGCTGTATTAATTCAGTCTAGTCTGCTGCAACAATGATTATTATCTTGTTTAAGATACTTAACCTTATCCAAGCTACAATGGAACAGGTAGCAAGTTACAAGAAATTACCACTCCAAGTCTGCAAGAAATCCGAGGTGGACTGAAAGCGAACTTAATTGTTCTGGTTTGCATTCATGTGTTTCCCACCTCTTCAACCTTCAAATGCTGACTTTCCTTGTAAATTATTCCTTTCAGCCAGATGCACATGGAACATAGAAGTTATAATTCCCCAGTATATTGTCTATGCCAAAATCTTTTCCCGGCCCAATGCTGCGTCAGGGCTCGGTACTTTGTTATGAGGGTAAACACACGGTCCTCTACTGAGGGGTTTCCATATCCTCCAGTGAGAGACTGTTTAACTCCCTGCAGGTAGTTGGTTCGCCGCCAAGAAAAAGAGAAATCACTACCTGCTGTCTAACACTTGTAAACATCATTTGAACCTCATACTCTGTGTGTGTTAGTGTTTTTTTATTTAGAAATCCACACGAGTGGGTGCAGTATGATTAGTTTCCGAATGCGTCAAGATTGAAAAGTCTGGTCGGGATTTAGTTAGTTTCCATGTTTATTTCACTGATATTAATAGGATTTTAAGCATGTGTATGCCATCTGGTGATTACCCTCTGCTGCCTGGGCCCCTATTGACACACACACATATACACTTGGTTAGACGCTGGTGAAAAACCACCACTCACCAGCTGTTTGAGACCAAGTCACTCAGTAGTCATTTGTTTCTTTAGCAACAATGTCTGAAGGGCCATCTGTCAGAGATTCACTGATGATCACAGTTTTCCCATGAATGCTGGTCAACTCTAATAACTTGTAAAACTTTTTTTTTTCAAAGAAAAAGAAAGAAAAAGAGAATAACTTTTGATGGGAGCAGTGACTCTGCTGATTTCCTGAAAAATACTGTTGTAGCTTTGAAAGGAAAATCAATACCAAATTAAATACACAGAACCTGACCGTGTTTCCATCTTTTCTGGACCACAACATGCTCAGCTATTTAAAAGTAGTCCAACAATCAAACGCATCAAAACGTTGTTCAGCATTCCACTTCCAGTGGGACGTTGTATCAGCAGACGCAACACAAATGTTTCTTAAACCTAGAAACCAACTGTGACACAGAATGGGAAAATAGCAAGGTCCTGTGCAAATGTAATGGCTGTTAATGAAGCTTTTGCCCTGGTTTGTTTATGCTAATTGATTAATCAAGCATTGATAGAAACATTTTAATCTGTTGATGTTAAAAGAAATAAATTGAGTGACTTCGTTTTTTTTCATTACCTATTGTAATAAGAATTGTGGCGCTTGCATAAATCACACATTCAAATGAGCCTGTCTTTTACTTAATTGGATAAAAGCACCACTTACATACATCCATTAGTCTCTGTTTCAGGACTGAAAAACAAGGTTCGTAAGTTTTTAGTTAATTTATTCTTTTTGTTTTGTTTTTGTTCTCCAACTTTGGGACTTTGTCACTTTAGTGAAGAAAGGTGAAATAAAGCTACTCAGACAGGGGCCACACACAAGCTCTCTTTTTTATTTGACTTTTTTTTTTTTTTGCTTCAGTAAGAGTTGTGTTTATGTTCACGCCTTGTCTCTTCTTCATCAGACAGTTGTTTACACTTCCTTGAAGCGCATGACTTCTGGAGGCAAAGCTGTGGGCAGTTCTTTTTAACTGCCAAAACACTGACTATTCATATGGACTTCACACTAAAACAGCCAAGAAGATGATCCAGAAATGTGAGCATTAATATAGGGGCTTATGATTTTATAACCACATCCAATAGTCCGACCAAAATCTGCTTTGCCCTGCTTTAACCTGCTTTTCAACGTATATACTGTATGTGTATTTTAAACTTTGCCTGTTCAAGTGCCTCTTCCCCTCCATCCACGATAAGATAAAAGTTAAACAACGTGATAGAAATCTCAGTAGAAGTCAGCAGTTTTAAAGCTGTACACTCAAGCAGTAAATAAATCACCTTCCCTCCCTCCCATCCTGGCTTCGGTGCTTAAACATTAGTCAAGGTGAAATGTTTGCATTGTTGTGTTCCTTAATATCGACTCGACAGAGACTTTTGTCTGTCCTAAGTGGCGTTTCCATCACACGCTCGTTTGTCCATTAGCTTTCAAAGCCCACGGAAATTGTTTGACCTTCTCATAGAAGCACGGATCCTTGTACGTGAAGTTTTAATTGAGTTCCTTCTCCTCCATCTTCCTCATCATTGCAATTTGTGGATAACTTAATCTCGTAGACTTATGAAAACAGATGGATTCACTTTACTGTGACAGGGAAATGCATTTCTCATCTTGTTCACACTACAATAGCCTCTGCCATCTATTCTTCACCGTTCAAGAATGATATTTAAACTCTGATAACTGGTTTGAACTTTTTTTCCCCCATTCCTTTCTCCTCTGTCCCAAGTTGTCTCTTTTTTAATTAGTGTCACAGCATAAATTGAAAGTTATCTTGAGATTGCTCTTAAATAAAACTTAAGTGAAACATGAATGGCTGATGAATATGGAGAAACCCCTTGTGAGAGACAGAACATTTATTCGGAGTTTTAAATCAAATTTTGATCCTTTTTCTGGCACAAGCAGCACTGACATGAATGCTACCAGGCCAAATGATTACTGTGGTGAAACAATCAGCATGTTCATGATCTTGCCAATTTCTAGCACCAGCTGCCCCCATCCCTCACTCTCTGTCCACTCCACATGATCACCTCAGAATACTCCCGGGTTTTAGAAGGTAGCACTGTCTTCTTCCCTTGGTGTCATTCAGCTCAGTTGAGAGATTGACAGCCCTGTGGCCAGAGGTTTTACATCTGTGTGGTGGACGCCTTTGTTTCTGGTTCATTTACACACACAGCCAGACGTATGCTACAATAAGCTTCCTATAGCTTTAAAATGAACCACACAACAGCATGATGCTCAAACAGACACATTTTTTACATGTTATATGTGTTTGATCCAAAGTGAGATCACTGTTAATTTTTGTACACTGGTCATAAAAAGCACCCACACATTTAATGCCCTCTTAATCCTTTCTCACACAAAAGACCATGACACAGATATCATGTATTGCCTTAGATTTGAATCTTTCACACCTACCGTTGTATACATATGCAGTTATTCTATGGATCTGTGTGCTTTTTGACATATTTGGAACCATTGGATCAGATGGCACTTTTGACGGAGGGGATGAGAACCCCCTATATTAAGAGAGACCCCAATCTCCCCTCACCGTCCGTACTTAAGGCAGCAGTTATCACCGGTAAAACCGATGTTTCCCCGATACTTTGACTTATTTATATTGCAATGTGCATTGAAAGTCTAACGTTTGTGTGCTACAACTAGTGATGTGCTCTAATTATTTACGGATGTCGACAATTCCAAGTTTCAAGTCAGATTTTTTATTTGAACCCCATGTGAAGTTGGATCCAACTCGGAAAGTCTGATTAATCTTACCATCCCTACATAGAATCCATGCTATCTCCTATACAGGTTATCTTCTAAAAATTGTCACTCAAAGGAATTCCTAATATTACTGCTAACATAATTTAAAATGTGAGTTTCATTTACCAGATGCATACATATTTTTGATTATATACATATGTTGTGCTGAGTTCATACACAAACTTTTACCTAAAACATAGTTTGAGTAAGGCATAGGTTTTTGGTTTGTTATTGGTATTCCACACAGTTTCATAATGCAGGCGTGGTGTTAGTTGGGTAGGCCTCTCTTTAACAGTATTGATTGTTGTTTATCAATTATTTCAATTAATTCTACAGTGGCTTGTTGTTGGAAGCTATTGGTCCATAGGGTATAATAAAAGTAACTACTTGAGCACCTCTTAAAGCTCAAATTACTCCAAAAGAACTTATTGAGTTTAAATCATTTGTTGACACCTTGTTCCCCCATCTGTTAAAAAATCTCATCTGCACCCCTGTTTGGAACCCATTATGGAAAATCATCTTTTTATGAGACAAATGCGGTATCGTAATCAGTTCTGGCACGTTTCACTACTCGGATGCACGTCTATTTTGAAAACATGGAAATGAGTCACTGTTTGCTAATGACTGTATCTCTTTCACAAGCAGCAATATGCTGAAAACCAAACATATCTAACCTCAACGCCACCCACCCCTATTTCAAGCTCAGACCAATTCTACATTTGGTCTGAAATGTTGAAGTTAGCCCTGAACTTATGGGCTAACTGACATATGTTGGCTGTGGAATTCAGGCACCGTCTGACTAAAAAAGCTTTCCCCTTTCTTTTCTTTATGGTTCTTGTATTGAGTGCATTAAACTGACTGAAGTCTTCAGGGAATAGATTGAGATCTATCAGGAAATTTGATACCCCTTTTCTTTCGTTCTTTCATTTTGGGAGAGCTGCTTTTTCTCGACTGCTTTCATCAAATATTTATACTTTTTATCATAAGTTTTCCTTTGTCTTTCAGCTGTCTTGATGTCTTCAAATGGCTTTCTTAATTTCTCTGTTTGCTCTGCTAGATAAACCCATACACACACACACACAAACACATTTAGTCTCTGTTTTTTTTTTCAAATGTTCTTATTGTGTTTTGCAGGAATGTAAGCTCAGCAGGTGAGGAGGCAAGACGAAGGATGAGGGAGTGTGACGGCCTGACAGATGCCCTGCTCTTTGTTATCCAGACCTCTCTTGGTAGCAGTGAGATCGACAGCAAGGTGTGTACCACTGTCTCTCTGAATGTCTTTGCTTTTGTTTACACATGAAATATTTCATTCAAAACCAAAATATGAAGCTCAAACACAAGAGAATAAATAGTGCGTGTGGTCTATCCTAGCAACAGACACAGTAGCCATATTGCTTTAATACACAAGAAGAGACACAAAGGGGCTAAACTACCTTTCACTGCAAACAGCCTCAAAAGTGAGGAACATTACTTTTAGAAGAGTCTATGCTTCAATCATTTAGGTTCCAATAAGCTCTAATGTTGTATTGCCACATTTCTTTTAGCCAGATCTACCAGTATTGAAAAATGAGAGTGTTTGTGTTGAACCTGCTTAATTTTGTGTGAGGATGGTGGTCTGAGCATGTTGGTCTGTCCGTGCGTGTGCGTGTGTGTGTGTGTGCGCATGTGTGTGTCTCAGTACGTGTGTTCCAGTCAATATTACACAAACAGCGCTGTGGATGGCTGACTTCTCAAGGTCTCTCTGTCTCTCAGCTTTTCTAAATGGCCATCCTTAATCACTGTTTAAATGTCCTCCCCTCTCCTATGTTTGACTGCAATCCCCAGAGGCCTGAAGTCACCACAGTAACAAAGACTGATTGGCTGATAACCCACCAAATGGTCACTGTTGCAATAGTGATGCACATTAGCGACAGTGTGTGCTCATTTTGTGATTTCCCTGTTTTCTGCTCCTTTTATTTCTCGATATAAGTTTTATACTAACATTAGCTTAATCTTTAATTCTGTCCACTTATATATCTAAGAAAATATTATAGATATATAGATATAAAAGTAAAAAATATATATTTTTTGACAAAGAAAGTGCTGTTTATTTGATATACTGATTTCCTACAGAAAATGCTGAAAACGTATCATATTTTTCTGCCTTATTCTTTCTTTTATTGTATTTTAATCTATTTACATTAATAGCTGGCATTGTTTTTATTTGCTTTTTGGCAGTATTTATTGTCATTAAGTTCCACGGACTCACTTTTGATTAAACTTCTCTGTGATCAATTCTGAATCTACTAAATCCCACATGGACTTTGACTTGGCTCTTCCATCAGTTCCAGCATTGGAGTTTCTGGATGTTTGGATGCCTCAGTAATGACTTCTTAGTAGCTATTCTTCCAGTTAATCCTTTTTTCAGCAGTCTTTAGCCCTTGGTCATTCTAGAGACTTGCTTAAACTCTGAACTAGGGGCATTCATCTGTACTTAAACGAGTGGTTGCTCTCCCCTCTCTGGTGCTTAAAATCGGGATGTGTCAGACATCTGCTTCAGTTAACGTTCATTCCCTTCCTCTCTCCTGGCTTCCATTATAAAGCCTGATCCAAATACTGATTCTCCAAAGCATACCATATTGACCATATTATTAGAAAATGTTGTAAGATTGCAACTTTATGTTTTCTAGCTGATCTTGCTGTACTCTAGAACAAAAACTTAAAAATACATAAAGTTTTCCAAAGTTGACCCTTACTGAGGTTCAACCTAGGCATTCCACAGAAAGACAAAAACATGGAAACAATATTGAAAAATGATATCCATTATGTTTCATGGTACACATGTGAAGGCATTGTGCAAGGTGCTTATCCAGATATTTGAGCAGTTTATGCCCTCTGCCAGAAATCTCTTTACAAAAATCAAACTAATCTAAAAAAAAGAAACAGCCATCATGCCAGCATTCCATGTCTTGTTGTTATTTGATTTTGGAGTTGATGTTACCATGATGGAGTTCTAATACTTGTCCTTGAATGTGTAGAAATGTATCATGCAGTATTTAATTGACTTGCAGTTTCAGAAATGATAGACTCTTAAATGCCACTCAGCTGTATGCTTGCTGTTCTATACCCTCTCTCTCACTTCTGACCTTGCTCTGCTGACTAGAATCTACAGCTAGTAATATAAAAACACAAGCAAGTTTCATTCAATTCTGTTAACCATGTCACTGGAAATGAAAGGTCTCTGAATAAATGTGAAGTAACGGATCGAAATACAAAATGTCATGGTGAATTGTGAGTCAAACGTAACTCCTCAAACATCATTCTGTAATAGACGGTGAATAGAATTTAGGACATGACTGCAGCTCACTGGAGTGAGACATTGTTTTCTTTGTTGCATCTCTTGAGGCTGTTCAATTACACTCTTTAGTTGTTTCTGTGTGAACCGACGGTCACACCGAGGGAAGATTGATGATTTGTCTGTGTTAATTTCCACTCTGCTTCCCCTCTCTGTGTGATGTACACACCCTCACAAGTCCATTCTCTTGGCGAAAGTGCACACCAAAGAGTAGACGGTGTACATTGTGAGACATGATTTGCTTGTGCACTCAGATCAGATGCTCCGTGGCTACTGGGCTTGCCTCTAAACTGGATGTTTAATGAGGTGGGACATGATGTAGATTAGGGTCTGTCATTTCTTCTTATTTAGTTAAGTTTCTTTTCAAAGTCGGAGCTAAATAACTGCGCTACTTGTAAGCTTATGGTTATTTTCTTTTCTTCAGCCTTGATGTTTTTGCGTTTTTCCATCCATCTGCTCACGGGTGTCGTGATAAGGCCTTTAGTGTATGAAAGTGTGAGGGTGGGTTGTTTTTATCCTCAGTGCTTTGACTTTGAGCTTCTTCTGTGTTTGAAGCAAGATTTTCAATAGGTGACATCAAACGTAGACTCTGCATCTCAACGTTCTCACTTTCCCTATTTATGTCTCTTATTTTCATCTTATCTCCCCATCTCTACCCTCATTCCCCTCCCCCCCCCTCGCTTCATTCTCTCGTCTACCTTTATCTCCAGACTGTGGAGAACTGTGTTTGCATCCTGCGGAACCTGTCGTACCGTTTGGCTGCTGAGACATCCCATGGCCAGCAAGGGGGCCTGGAGGAGCTCGATGGCCTGCTTTGCGATGCTAACGGCCATGAGGCCGAGAGCTCTGGATGCTGGGGCAAGAAGAAGAAGAAAAAGAAGGGAGCAGAACAAGTAAGCGCAAAATCATTACAAGTTTAATAGTGAAAAAGACAATATCAGAGTTGAATTCAAAAGGTGGAGTTTTTCTGGGGTTTTTTTAAGAGCAGATTCTACAAATATGCAAGAAATTCAGGCTGTGACATTCATCAGTTTATTTTGTTCAGTTCAATTAAGGTTTATCATTCCAATCTGAGAGGATCTCAAGGTTCTCTGACGTGAGCAGAAGTCGGAACTCAATTGAACACATCTGAAAGTAGTTTAATAGAGCCAGAAAATGTTTTGTGTCCATCTTACACATAAGAGGTGCCGACTGCAAGGCATCTTGTAGAAACATGCAAATTAGCCCAACACTTTGGTCTCTCACTGGAGGCTCATTAAATGTATTATCTCCTGAAAGCAGCTTTAATTTAGACATGCGAGACACCATCTTCTAATCTGGTACTTAGTTCTACTTGATGCTTTAACCAGGGCGATGATGGATTTTTCAGAGGACATACCAATAGCACATGAGCCACTTAATTTTGATACCCAATGTTAATGTATACATTTTTGCTCGTGAATGAATAAACCCACTGGCTTAGAAAGATGTAGTGAGTGTGACCATCTTTTTTGCAGAGAGGATGTGGGGAAAGTGATAGAAAACACGTATGAAACTAAGAATTCACAATGTCCTCTTCAAGTTCGATCCGGTTTCTATCATGTTTGATGTAACTGAACATTTTAACTCTAGCTTTATTCTGTCATAATTTGAAATGTTCTGCTTGTTCTCCACAGACCGCTCATTTGCATTGCTAATCTGCCTTTGAAGCAAAACACCTCTTAGGTTGTTCCACTTTAAGAGTGTTCAAGGAAGTTGTCCAAATTCAAATGAATTACACTGATGGAAAGTCAAAAAGCAGCATAATGCTCTCAGAACATTTGATTGTGAGCATGTTGGAGTTGCATGAAACAAGACATTAAAAGTAATACTGATCAACGCCAAGTAGTATATAACTAACAGAAAACATTCATCAAAAGTAGCGGCCATGCATTTTTCCCAACTTCATCTTTTAAAAATCTTTGCTTACCATTTGCCACCAAATCCCATTCAAATTAACACCAGTTCAGAGGTTTGTGTATCAAATGTGCTGTCCGGATGTGTACAATTTGGATCAGACAACACAAAAAATTTCTTTGCAGTTAATGTCATTGCATTTAGCATTTCTGTTCTCTTTGTGACACTTTGAAAGATTTTTACACTCATAAATCACATGCGGGCAGCAGAATCCCCGGGGGACTTGGATTGTGGTACAAGAGAGAAAAAGGGAAGGTACCGAGTTACAGAGACACAGGGAAGAGAGGGATCAGGTCAGGTCTCTTGAAGAGATGGAAAGAGTGTGTAAAGGAGCCAGGCGAGAGAGGAAGAGTGGTCTTGAGAGACATGGACTGCCATGTCGTCTCCTCAATCATTTAGTGGAGGTTAAGATGGCAAGACCAGTGAGAGGCTGAAATGGACCTAAACATTCCTAATGGACTAATGGAACACTGGTTGCCGTGCTGTCTGAGATGCTATGAGGAATTGTCGTGTTATTTTCAGTTTTTCAAGACATATTACAGACTTTTAGAGCAAGTTAAAGCCTTTTAGAGGGGTGACACTCTATTGTTGCCTAAAAGGGTGGCAACTGGAGCGAAGGACTCATAAATTAGCAGATAGAATGTTATAGATTTGGCACGGATTTTAGCCTAAGGGAAATAAGGTTTTAGGCTTTCATTTGGTGTCGTCTCCCTTACTGAATGAAGCAAATGATTTGAAATCGGTCCATATGCTTGATGGTGTATTTTCCGGTGTATAAGATATCCAAAGTAACCTCATTGTTTATAATGGACCATGTTGCTGAAACCACAGACATCACTTGATGTACGATGTTTTAATGCTTGTGTAAACTTCAAACCATAATACGTTTTTAACTTATTTGATCATAGATTCTATCTATAGATTTAAAATAAAAAGCATGCTCTGTCTCACTAACTTAGCTCCGGTCTGACGGCACAGAATAGTGTGGTTTACCTTGAGACAAAGCGAGGGGGTAATCAGCGATTGAGAGGCAAACACCGACAATAATAGGGGGGGGTATACGGAGAGATTGAAAGGAGAGAGCCGACAACAAAAGATGGAGTAACATAAACTAAGAGACAGCAGGAGAAAAAGGGACAAGAGGGAAACAAAAAGAAAGGAATAAAGTATAATGGAGAGGCAGAGAGAAGGATGGCTTTGGGCTTTTTGCCTTTGTTATAGAGGTGTGATCATGTTACCCAACAAGGGTGTGGACACCTCGGCTCTATTGTTGAGGATGGGATCGTGAAAATGAGAAGGAGGTCTGCCGCTGAGCAGCAGCAAAGAAACAGACACCAATTCTTTCTCACCGTTCTCCCATCAGCATTCTTACTGACACTGTGGGCTGACTGAATATTATTTACTCACCATCTCTGAGCAATTTTATACGATGCATAAAGTCATTCTCTCATAAAACATGCACTCGCACTAAAGATTATACTGCAAGCTGTTTATTTCCTAAATGCTGCAGATTTGCTTTAACATGTTACCATAGAATTATGGCAAACTGAAAAATAGCAAAAACTTAAAAAGTAACATCTTGCTGGATAAAACTGACTCCCTGAATACAGACAGGACATATGGACACTGAACTATCCCCCCCCACATATGCTCACCTTGCTGTATTGTCGTACAGTTGTACTCCTCAAACTTGGAATATTAAGATTAGCCATTCCTGTTCCTAAATTGGCCCTCTAAACAAAGAGAGCGGCCTCTTTGACACCTTTCACATTTTAGCAACCTCCTCGATTTCTCTTCCATACTTGCTACACGAGAGAGTGAGTGTACGTCACTGTCTGCCAGCAGGTGTTGTAAGAATTGAGCAAGAGCGGTGCTAAATGTGACTAGAAGCTGAATAATGCATCTTTAATCAAAATAAAAAGTTGAGAAAAATACTAACACATGAAAAAAGTGGTTCGTGAGCAGAATCGGTATTTACATAATGACATCTGTCCCAATCTGTTTCCCCCTTTACAGTGGGATGGAGTGGGCCCTTTTCCAGATACGGCAGAGCCCCCCAAAGGAGTCCAGATGCTGTGGCACCCCACCATCGTGAAGCCCTACCTCACCCTGCTTTCTGAATGCTCAAATCCTGACACGTTAGAAGGTGCAGCTGGGGCTCTCCAAAACCTCGCTGCAGGCAGCTGGAAGGTAACCACTCAGAAAACATTTGCCTTTGCCTTGGTTTTCATAACAAGCATATATACATAATAAGTTTAGAGAATTTTATTTTCTCCGATAAAATATACATACATGTACTTTTGTGTTGGTAATTGTTTTGTTTTTTTCACACATTGGACAGATTACTCAAATGTGTTTGTATGCATTAATGCATTCAAGCAAATCTGTAATTATGCGTGCCTGTATCCAGACACTGGAGATATTTGAGACATCCTCTGGCTCCACACCATTCAACCCTCAAAAAATGGATTTGCTTTACCAAAAAATGCAGTAAAAGTATGGCCTTATATTAAATACCGGATATTAAATACAAATGTTTCAAGTAGACAGGGATATGAGTAAATGTTGGATATATTCTCATCTGATATCAAATGGTTTGCCTAATTTGAGCATATTATATAAATCATAGACACACACTCAAGACGCTAACAGTAATATTGGAAGTTCTAACTGCCTATTTGTCATTGAATGTATTACTAGGACTGGTAGCCTGGTGAAATTAATTTTCTGGCTGCATGATGTGTATTCCAAGGTCCCCAGCTATTGTATGTTCTCATATTCCTCGAAGGGTTATTTAGATCTGCATATTTCAAAATGTGCTGATATTATACATTTGATTAGATTTATAGATCAAGGCTTGAAAATGGAGCTGATGCTGATGCACTCATTTTTACCAGTTCATTTAGTTAATTCCTCTGAAAATTGGATCACTTGGTAAAGAATAGAGAGAAATAAACTGTATAATGTTTCTCAAAGTTGATCTTGATATTGTACTTACATACCCTATACAGAAAATAATGTTGCTTTTGAACAATGCAATTATCTGTTCTTTAAATTCTCCAAAACCTAATACACCAGGGAGTGAAGAAAGCATTCAGCAAACAGCAAAATGATGGAGGCAGCTAGATGGTAATAATGAATGACTTTTGTGGTCATATTGAAGGGTACTGTGAAGGCAGCTTTTGCCTTGAGGGAGATTTATATAAGGGTAAAAGGCAAAGTGTGATGGTACAACCTCAGGATGACCTGAAAATACGATATAGCTACATTAGACATGGCTAGCTCTAAGCAGTTTGCATGAGAATCTCAACTAAAAAAGCCTGAGTTAATTTTTTTTTAGTTTTTAGGTTTCTTTGTATGAGAAACGTGATATCAGTGGGGGACGAAAAGCAATGAATTTGGTTGACAGTGAGTTTAAGGTTTGATTTGATAAATATGTTCAGTCATATTTAAGTATATTGAGTCAGATCAAGTGAGAAATAGAAGAGGGGGAAAAAAACAGTAGAGGAGGAGGAAATAGTGTGGACAGGTGGTCATTAGGATGTCACATTTTTCTATTTTAGTGTCAGACGGCATGTGTCTTTTGGATGCGTCCCTGTGTTTGTGTTTACTTTGTAGTGCCTTGTCTGAGCAAGCTCCCTCTCACTGCTTTGAGAGCGCTGTTAATAATGTTGGCACACTCTACACTGTGCACACTTAAGTCTTGGCAAAGAGGCATGATCATTTGTCTCTGAGGATGAATTATTTCCCTAAGTGATTCTATGAAACAGTGTTTTCCCAATTTGGCCTGAAAGATGAACAATAGTGGAAATTCAAGTCGGATTAACACCGCCTGAGGAAAATAAACGTGTTTAACGGAAATATTTAGCATTCCAAATACTTTCATTCATTCCGTGAGCTCATCTTTACTCACCCATTAGACAGGTACCGTTTGATCCATTCTGGGCTGAGCGCTCCACTTCAGCTTTACCTTGATGGTTATTGAGGCGGCACAGAGGGGCCTTGAAGCTTAAAACTCTCCACTTGGTTCATGTGGCCAAATGACTGTAATCTCTGAGCGCTTCTCATATAGCTCCAAATTGTACCACCCCGTATCAAGTTCACCTGGTGAACTCTATTAGCAGTTTCTTTTTTTTTGTTCTTGACCTTTTTCTGACTGGAAGCATTTCTTTTACAAATCAATCAAATCCAGAGTAAATGACCATGTCCACCATACACTGGCGTGACCACGATGTCGTATCGTATGTCGTGTGTTACAGTCAGAAGGGAGTTGTCGTTGTGACCTGTGTGGCTTGACTGTCAGCAAACATGTCGAGCTTTTCCCCCGTTCGCATTCAGCTGATGATGAAACTGTTTTCCGTGCCAGTGGTCAGTGTACATTCGGGTTGCTGTCCGTAAGGAGAAAGGCCTTCCTATCCTGGTGGAGTTGCTGAGAATAGACAACGACAAAGTGGTGTGTGCCGTCGCCACAGCTCTCAGAAACATGGCCCTGGACATAAGGAACAAGGAGCTTATCGGTGAGTATCGATAAAAGACGTCTCGAAGTCAGCTTCCATTTTTTGCATGAAACCTAACATTCCTAATCTCTTGCATGTCTTCAGACACCTGTTTTCTGATGCTTAGTTTCAGAGCCTGTTTTGTGGTGAAACCCGAAGCCCCTCATTAGTGTCACCTCTAATTACATTCTTACATAGCTGTTCCACTATGGTATCTTCCCTTCAATTAAATATAATTACAACTTGTACAAACATGCAATCACCTCTGACTTATCTTGTTGGGTCGAGTGGAGGACTTTGGACCTTCTACTATATTTTGACTAATAATCTGGCTGAGATTGTTAATTGGTTAACCACAGATTGCTTCAAGAGTTGACCTGAACTCTATAGGCCGTGATGTGTTTGTACGTTTGTTGTTATTGTTTTGAACAATGGAATACAATCATTTTACATAGTTATTCGACTAAAGCTAAGGCGTGTTTGTTGGCGACGGGGACAAATTAGAAGAATAAAGATGGATGGAGCAGCGCAGGCTGGGAGTAAAGAAATAACTTAGCAGATAATGTGTAATTAGAGACAGGCAGAGCCGAGCAGGAAAGTGGGAGAGAGACATGCACATCAAAGGCTTGCATCGGTCTTTGAAAAATACACTTGATAATGAATGAGCCCTCGTCAGTCTCATAGCTTCAGTCCATAAAAGGGCCAGGTATCATTAGATAACCAGACACACCAGGAAACATATACGGGATGTGCATTTTCTGTATCTGCGCGAGTGTTCAAATGAGAGAAGCATCTTCCTTTTTTATGCGGTTTTGTTGTTGTGGTACCACTTCACCATTAAAAGGCTCCGCAATGGCAGTTGATACCAAAAAACTTCCAAACATCTCCCTGAATAGACAACAGTGGATGTTTGTGTTGGCAATAACTTTTCTGTGACAGCGCCTCCCTCTGTCTCCATCATCTTTGATAACCGCGGCATCCTGGTGGGATCCTGAGGGGTTTCCATAGCAACGCCAGCACCCTCTGTTGCAGGGGCATAAGTTAGTTTGTCAGCATGTTGCTTAACGTGAAACAGCAAAGAATACCATGCCAGCCACTGTACAAATAAACACACACACACAAGCTAAAGCTAAAACGTCACCATCAAAACTGAGCGGTATAACGAGTGTACCTAAAGAAAGTAAGTAAGCACTATACATAATAGTACAGTTAAATCAGCCCAAAAAGGCAGTTATTCAGTTCAGTTCAGACATAGGGTGATGGAGGTCAATCCATAGACTTTTTGATCATCTTTAATGATATTAAGTAATCATCTGCAGCTGATAAATTAATGTGTATGAACATATTTGTATTAGTTTTGATTAGCTTTAATTAGCTTTGAAAACCAGATGTATTTAAATATTTTCTTTTTTTTTCTACCATTAGCAGTATAAAAAAATAGCCAGCCTTCATAATATTGTCATCATTAGCTACTAGTTAGTTGCTGTTTTCTTTGCACGGCCAGAAACCTGGCCTTTATTTGAAGCATTTTCAATTCTCTTTGTTTAAAAAGACACACTTGCCCATGTGTAGGTGAAGTCTTACTTTGATCCTCTTTCATTTGTCCAGTGAAAGCTGATGCATTATTCTGACAGTGCAGCAAAATAGTGTTTCATACCAGATAAAGATCAGTGAGACAGCTGGAGCATCTCCTCAAAACTTTATCTCAGCAAGACGGGGAGCTTCGCTCTGAAAAAAATGCTATCTGTGCAAACGTGGTGATTGTTTGGAACCCAGCGACCCACTTCAGTTATGGAGTTATGACTTCTCTAACGTCACAAAAAACTTAACAAGCACTGAACAACTTTTTAAGTGGCCAAAACTACGGTAATTCCAACCTCACCTTCATTTGGATCTCTCAGAGAAGTCCATATCCTTCTTCGGTCTTCTCAAAGAGTGTTGGTGAGTCGATGTGGCACATTGGAGACCTGCGGAAAGCCATTACTAACCGTCTTGTTTCTGTGGACAGAAGGCCTCATTTTGCAACAGAGCTGTTGATGGAAAACATTTGCAGGCATATGATCCCATCTACTAATATCCTCTAAGTGGAATATTGTTCTTGCTTTCCTCTTTTCTCGCCTCATTCCCCTCAACCTGAGATGCGAGTGAAGAAGGCAGAGGCAAGGTATTAAACAAAATAAAACATTTTAGCATTTGAGCCATCATATTAAATCATATTAATCACATATTGAGTACATATGGAGCAGCGGCATCTGCTAATTGTTTTGTTGTAGCCTAAAACCGAACTTTATCGATGAACACATATTACATATAATTATGAGAGAACAATCATTTTTCGACAATGAGTGCAAATGAACTTGAAAAATGTAGCCATGTCAGCTAATCTAGAATGAACATTTCCATACTTTGATAAATGCATTTGTTTTTATTCTTAAAAGATGTAAAGTATAAATCACAATACAGCTGCAGGTCTCTGTTGGCAAGATAGTCATAAATGTCTGTGACCCATTATAAATGGAAGCTATTCATGCCTATTCACTGTTCCTGCCTCCAGATTTTACAGTTCATGATGCAACCATCCACTATTCTTATACACTTGATCTTGTTAAGTTCTTCTTATTGCTTTAATTTAATCTATTCAATTTTCTTGGTTTTCTTTGATTAAGAAATTGTTATTCTTTACTGTTGCAAAAATAAGAAGGGTGCCATTTGAACCATTGATATGTTCTTTGTTTTTGCAAACCATTTTAAGCGGCTCAGCTCAACAGTAGGTTGGAGTCCACTTAATTGCCCCAAGGTCACTGGTTACCAGACTTTAATAATCTGCTTGCAAATGAGTAATGATAAAGCATTACATCATGATAATAATCGATCATTCTCTTTGTTATATTTAGCTTGTTGTCCTCTCGACAAATCAAGCAAATGCCCAGCATATGTGTGGATAGATATTTGGAGGAAATGCACTGCTGTATTAATGATTACTGTAATGATTTTGAAGAGGTCCCACTGTTGTGCACCTTGTCAAAGAGCGCTTTTCATTACTCCCCCTTATGCTTCCTCACGTCCTCTTTCCCAATGATCCAAAAAATCATTCCCCCTCCACTTTTATGGAGGATGTTTTAATGCCTTTAATACATTTAGAAGACAATGAGCCGGAGAGAGGAGGCTTCTGCAGGACTTCTGATGGGGCCAAGACACAAGCATATGCTAATATTCTCCATTGCATTTTTGCTGGAAAGAGTCAACAGACAAAGAGGGAGTTAGAATATACAATCAAACACCTACATTTTGCTAGAAAACCGAGCTGAACGTTTTTGTTTTAGTAATTCCAACCATGCATTTCCAGCTGTGATGAAAATGTTTGCTGCTGGGCATTAAGTTCCCTCTCTTCTCCAGACACACTGTTCATTTGGAGCTCTGAAGAAACAACATAAGCTCTTTGGAAGCCATGGAGTGTGTCTCACCAGTGCAGCAATAAACAACAAGAAACTAGTAAATAAGTCACTCATCTTGTCCCACTCTACATTGTAGTTTCTGTTGAGATTCTTTAATCGTGCAATGGAAAAGAAAACCTGACCCCTTACTGGCTCTGACAGAGGCCGTTTTCAGTCCTAAAAATGTTCTGCATGCCCAGGAGCGGTTTCACGTAAAAAAAAACAAATATCCACCCAACCACACCCAGAAATGTCAATGATTTATCCGCTTCAAACCTTGAGTGCTGTCTCTTGAAAGTGCCCAGTGTACATTGTCGAAAAACTAAGAGAAACACAGGAAGAGACATGTATAATTTGTTGACACATACTTTTAGAAAAGGGAACTCAATAGAAGGAAATATAAGACACTTTCATACCTTTATGTGGAGTTGTTTCAGTACTTGTGTACTGAACCTAACTCTAAAGGTTGTACCTTCAAAAAAGAACGCTGACAAAACATAACTGGGACATACAGAAAGCCAGAAGAAGTTCATTTTCAGAGGTTTTGTCTTACATGCAAGATATTCCTGTTTTAATTTGTCTAAAGGAATTGATTAAAAATCGCTTCATACATCCAGACATCTATTCTAGTGCATAGAATAGACTAGTTTCCAAGTCTGCATCTTTTTTTGAGTGTCTTGTTGATTTGAAATACCGAACCATGTAGAGAGCCACAATGGCACTCAGTTGAGTGCAAAAAAACTGCACACAGAAAATCAAGATCGGAAGAGAAAAGGTGAGAGGGAGCAGTCAGGTCTGAGCCTTTGCTCCCGGTTAGGTGTGAGCTGATATGTGTTGAAATAGAGGAGGAAAAGGCCAGGCACTCCCAAGAGATGAGCTCCACTTGGCCCATCTTCACGAGTTGTTTTGGGCACTGTGGTTTTACACTTTTCTCAAACGCTCTTCATCTTTACGCGATGCACTAGCACCAAAACAGCTTAACCCCAAGTGACAAAGTAATTCCACAGAGCAGCTGGCATGTCTCAACCGATCAAACTTTCACCTAATCAAAGCTAATTACGGAGCAATACCCCCCCCCCCCCTTTCTACAAAGTCAATAACTAACATTTAGCCCATTAAAACGGATTCACAAGTGTTTAATAAACTGTTAGTGCTGGTAGGTTTGGCAGCAGAAATCTGTGGGAGCTGTGGTTTTGCATGAAAGCTCAGCAGATTGCAGAAATAATCATATTTTTGCACACAACAACCTATCGTGTTAAATCTTCGGCAAAGCGCTGTGTGATTGGATCAAAGCAAAACAAGCTAAAGGAAATAAGCAAAGCGAATGTCACGACTTGACAAGGGTGGAAGACAAAAACCAGAGACAGAGGCCAGACTAAAGAGGCTCAATATGATGGAAGATGAAAAATATGGAAGACTGAATCAACCCTCAGCAAACTGGTAACTGCATATGTATGCTTAAATTCAGATCCATCTGTAATTTCATTTAGCACCATATTGACGTCTCTATGAATCATTCTTCTCATCTGTCAACATTTTTGTCTTCCTCTTGATTTCATATCCTTTAGAGTTTTCGATTTGCATAAT